GGAAACTACTACTACTAATAAACTGCTAATACGAATAAAGGAACAAAAGTAATAAAACTAAAGCAGATAAAAAGCAGTATCACATGTAAAAATGTGGTTTAAGAAGAGATTTAAAAGAAGTAATTGACTCTACAAGCGTTTTATCCTCAGGCAGAGCGGCCCTGAGGCCTGGTCACGTTTCAGACACGAGGACCCGACCTGCTGATCTACAAGTGGCTCAGTGTTTCGAAAAGGAGAGCGTTTAAAAATGAAAACTGAAATCCAAACTGAACAGGGAGCCAGCGAGAAGCCGAGCTGCTGCGTTCAGAACAAATCAGAGGTGAGAGAGTGACGTGGGATTCACGACAGAGAGAGAACGGAGTCACGGTCAAAACGGGAAAATTAATAGAATTCTGAAGATGGAATCGAACATGCGTATTTATCATCAGACGTTGTTGTGTGTGTTCCGCGAGACGCAGACTGAGCCTCAGTTTCAGACCCTCCTTCACACGACAGCAGCTCTGTCGTGCATTTCAGAAAACAAGTCACACCCATGAGGCTTTGCGTCATTTTCTGTCGCCGCACGTCTGAACAGCTCTGTCTGGTTCCGCTCCGCTCCGACACCCGTGTCCAAGTCCGGCTCGGGTCAGGGAGCCTCGCGCCACTCTGGGCTCACGTTCATGTACAAATGTTGCCACACAAACCCCCGCCATGGCTGACGGCGCTCAGGCCGAGAGCTGCAGCAAACGGAAAGTATCACTAATTGGCTGGCAGCGGAGGACGAGGCTGCACTGGGAGGGAAACTTCACAATATAAACACTGTTTCACGGACTCTTACTCTCAAACTGACCAGATGGATTTGATGCGTTTTACTGGCTTTTTATTCTGAAGTTTTTATCGAAATAATAAAAAAAATTAAAAAAAATACAAAAGCTTTAAGGCGCTGCCGCAGCTCTGAGAGTTCTGACGCTCAACACAATGAAAACACTGTGAAGACGATGTCATATGGACAGTGACTAACTGTCAAGCTGCTCCCACTCCAGAGTCCAATTCGCTGCAGAGCCGCTGCAACATTTCGTTTTCTGAGGAAACAACGAGCGGCGTGTTTTCCACGCAGCTTTGCAAGGAAGTTCACTTTAATGAGGTCAAGACAGGGAAACATATTTTGGTGAATTCCCAAACTTTCCATCAGTCTGCAAAAAAAAAAACAGGATTAAAACCTCTGCCCGTCTGCAGAGAGCAAAGATTCAACCCGATCTCACTTGAACCGACACACACACAGAAGAAAACAGCCAAACTTACAGAGTTGACGATGCTTTTGAGCGCGTGGAAGCCATCTTTGACAGGAAACACTTGGTCCTTGGTGTCGGCGATACCGGCGAGCTGTCGGAGAGACACGAGAGAGTGAAGACGTCTGATTTATCGCTGCTTTCTTCTTTATGCTTTTTTCCCCTTTATGACTGAGCACTGTCTTTCTTTCCTCTCGGATCATGGGCAGCAGGAGACGCAGCAGATGGCGTGACTGTGGCAAACACTTCATAACACTCAACCGTAAAAAAAAAAATCTGCACAAACTGGGAGCGACATTGTCTTTGTTTATGACTTAATAAGAGCCGATGGCAGGATGGTTACCAATGGTTACAGGGGACAGGCCTTCGTGATGGGTGGAGGAGAAACAGAGAAACTACAGACAGCACTACAGACACCACTGACTTAGTGAGACAAGTCCACAGTAAAGATTCCGACACCAGACGAGTGATAAATCAACGAGTGACCACATTAGATTTAGCAGAATCTAAGGGACGGTTGGGTCCCGGTGGAGGTTTGATCTCTGCTGAGGGACTTTCTGGTTTGTTTGTGCGACTGATTAAACACAGACGTGTTGTTTTCTTAGTTAAATAAATTTGACGCATTTATGCCGAAGCTCTTTTCCATTTTTTGAGAGCTAGTCGTGATGCTAATCATTTAGCATCCTGTAGGCACACAAACATGGAGTGAACTGCAGTTTAACATGTGAAATGTGTTTTATTTTATTTCTATGTCACTAAAGCCTCTGTTATTAATGACTTCCCTTTCACAGTCATCTTTCAGGAAGTGAGAGTTTTGGTGGAATATCTCTTTAAGACTTGATGTTACAACTGTTTACCTTTCTTGTCACACTTCCAACATGGCAGCGTGTCTCATGCTGAAGTCGTCAGCGGCGAGCGTACGTTCGGCGACAGATTAAGACTAAAGCTCTCTCACCTGCTGCTCGTCAAAGTCCTTGATGCCCACGCAGTAAACACGGGCGCCATACTTCCTCGCCTCGTTCGCCTGCTCCGCCACACGTAGGGGTGGAGGAGGTGCAACAGGTCCAATGTAAAGAAAAGAGGAAAAAGGTTTTAAAACACGGTGAAGAAGAAAACTGCGGGTGCACCGCAGGACAGACGAGATGATCGGTGTCCAGGGAAACATGATGAATCTGACCTCGTTCACCGTGAGCTCGTTAACGTAGACTTCAAGTTTCCCGTCCGTCAAAGCCAAGATGATGCTGGAGGACTTTATCGACTCTTTCTGGATCTGCGCCGAGGCCTTCGGGGCGGAACAAATGAAAAACAGGTCGTCACAATCAGCTTTTCAAAAGACTCCAGTTGTCCGGTGGAGTTGTTGGAGGGTTAACTGACCTCTTTGATTCCCTCATGCATGTACGTTTCACCTGCTGGTTTCACGTTTCGCAGACGCTCCAGACCCGCTTCTATCTCGTACCTTAAAACACACACAAGATAAACGATGAGCACGTTCGGTCCACGTGTTCTCTACCGAGCTGAAATCACAGCAGGACTCTGGGTGAAGGTTTTTAGTTTCCACCTCCAGACAAAGCATCTGAACACAGATCTATTATTAGTCACTAAATTTGTGGTTGTGGTGAAAAACAGTAGCACGTTCTATTTTAGCACGACAAAAAGAGAAGTTGCTAATTTGATGTTTCGGCCTGACGTCAACGTGCAAACTTTTAAAGTTGTAACTGAACAAAAACAAAACAAGCAAGATTTATTTTTAAAACAAGTTTGGAACATGGTGCAGAAAAAGCCTCGTAAAGAAAACACAGTATAATGTGAAACCACTTCTAGTCATG